TGCTTTGTTGCACTGGCAGCACTTGCATACATAGCATGTTTATTTGCTATCTTAATTGAATCTTTTCCTTCTCTACTTGATTTAATATCCTATCCTATAGCTTTGTTCATAATGACCTAGGTTAGACTCTGTGTGTATGTATGTGTGTCTACTCATACCTAGGCCATATCTAGTCCCTAGAGGGTCATATCACACACACACACACACACACACAGACACACACACACACACACATTCACTATATAGTCTAGATTTGTAAGTATACTCTATAATGTTCTCATGACAAAATTACCTAGCTGTGCATTTCTCAGAACTTTTTCCATTGTTAAGCAATGCATTAGTATAGTTATATGAAAACAAAGCTTTGTGAACCTCCATTTCTCACTAATGGAAAGCAGGTAGATTGATCTAACATATTTTGGATTTAACCAGTTTTCAGATGATCATTACCATAAAAAAGCAAATAATAACATGAACTATAGATGCAAACTTCTCAAGTAAGTGTCTGGTGTTAATTAGAATGGGTAATTTCAGATACCATTTTGAATTAGTGGCTTTTTCTATGCTGAGTTCTTAGAAAAACTTAATGCAATTAATTCCATTTTGAAATATTTCATTAGTAATCAACACAAGGATAGAAAGTTTATATTTATTGAGTTACCTACCTGAAATCTTGGTTTTGCAATTAAACAATTCTGATCCTGCTGGAATTTTAAAAATTAACTCTTATTTTTTCAGTATCAGAAAAGCCAGATCAGTAAAACAATTTGAATGAACTCAAAATTTTTAATTAATTCAGCCACCATTTTGATGTTCTTTTTGACTACATTAATGAGACTCTAGGCTCCTAAATCTGTCATATAATTCTCCCATTTATTAATATGCTCACACCACACTTCTAAATATGCTTTTGACCACTTTCCTTTTGAGTATTTGGTACAAATCACAGGGTGAAGGTGGTTTTGTATGGTGGCTCATTTTGTTTTTGCCAAATCGCCAACATGATAAGCACATTTCCCTTGTGTTTATATAGTTTTTAAAAGATGATGTGGGAATTTTTCACAAAATAGTCTAATCATATTAAGTTCACCAAATGTCATTTGGATGTAACTATCTCTTAGATTCATTTGTGGCTTCTCTTTTTTTAATCTTTGTTCTCACACCATCAGCTTCAAACTAGACATTTTTGCAGAAACTGTAAATGCCTTCCAAAGTCAAGTGTCCAAACCAGCCTCCTGACCTTCTCCTCCCCTACACAACTCAAAGATCCCAAAGTCCTTATTTCAGCCAACAGTACTATTGTTCAGGTATAACAGGTGCTTGGTTATTTCTGATAATATACCTTTCCTTAGCATCTTGTATATCCAGTCATCACTAAATTTTCACAATATGTCCCAGTGAAATTAAATTAAGGCAAAAGAGGAAGCTGTGTGCTAACGAAAATCCATTTTTGTACATTTTCTATTCCAAAACCCTTACCCTGTTTCTGAGTAATATGAGTTAAGAATGGTGATTCAGTTTGCTTCTACCTTGCCAATCTAATTTTGTCACCTTTATTCATAATTCTAACCTTTTTCTCTAATCATTAGATTTCTCATAATATGTCCTAAACATGCTTGGAATTCTTCCCCACACTAGGACATTTGTATTGAGCCTTTGCCTCTGCAAATTCACCATAGCCCTTCTTTCTTTTCCTTACCCAATCACAAACTTATCTGTCATTTAGTTCTATCTAAGCCCTTTATTCAGTAGCTGATTATCCCCTGCTTTTTCTTTCCGTTTTTGGGTATGTTCCTCTTTTCACAGTTTCAAGTTGCTTGTACTGTCTAATTCTTAAAGTCAAGATCCATGATTTTGATTGCCTTATTATTCACTTACATAGTGCTTTGCACAATGCTAGCAGGAACTAATAGTTTGAGAAATGCCTGTTAATTTTAAATTAAAAAGAATTAAACCAATTCTTTACCTGGAGTTGGTTAAATCATGTTGAAAACATGTCACATCTAACCTCCATCTCTTCTCATATGTTTAGGGTATGTTTTATAGCCATGAAATGAAACTCAGTATATTATAGATCAAATTATGTAGTTTGAAGGCTTCCTTTGTTTGGTAATCTGTAGAATTAAAACTCATGCCAAGTGGGTTACACTGGTTTAAAACTATCTCTTTTGAGAAATGGGGAAACAGGCAAAATGCCTCAGGCATTGAAAATGGAACCTCTAGGTGTGAGTTTCATTATACGAGAAACTCCTTTGTCCCCTCCTGCTAAAAAGCTTGCCAGGAGGCTGTAGCTGAAAACTGGGCAAATTCCATAAAACATCTAGAAAAGAATGTTCCCTAGGAAAATATTGCAAGCCAAAGAACCCAGCAGAATAAGGTGCAGTCTGGTAGATTATTCTGGACAGTGGCTTTCCCTATGTAGATTGCAAGTAGTCTCTCATAAGACAGTACTTTGGGTAGACTCTTGTACCTTATGGCTAATGAACATATGTGAAGTGTGTGTATTTGGGCAAAAAGGGCTTAGAGAAGGAAAATCTCTTTCTCATGTCTGGAATTTCATTGGTAAGGTTATATTAAAGTTCCAAGTATGCGTGGATACTCTGCCCTTTTCTAAGGGCATTCTATTTTATCTAGAATTTAATAAGAAGAATCTTCTCATTTAGAAGCTACCATATGGGCCCCGGTAAAGCTGATGGAGGCAGTGTACAATGAAATCGAATGGAATATCTTTTAGCCTGGGTCATAGGATGGCACTAGAGACAATTCTCCAAGGAAATATAAAGGGAGCTTCTTTTGGAGTCATACCCACTGGACCAACGTCAGTGGAAGGCAAGAAGAGATTAGATTCTAAGAAAGCAATTAGCTTCTAATGAATTCAACTTCATTTCTTTATCCTCTTCCTGGTGTACCCTCAGTTGCATTCTTATGCAGTGCTGCAGTGATCCAGGTGGCAGTGAACTGTCTCATATTCATTTGAGAGAATAATGATTTTTAATAACTTAATTTTCTGCTATGGGAATGTGCAAACCAATTTTCAATTCATTTTGCTTTAGTTTACTTGTTTTGTGAGATACAGTGTGCTCTGTTGAGGTATGTTTGGCTGTTAAGGAATTTTCTCTTCTTGGGAGAAGTCTAGTTCATTTGCGAACAACAACTTTCAAAAGTTTGGGATCTGAGGGGTTCTGCTAGAAGCACTAGTCACTTTTTACTGGCATCTGCCAGATTTCTTTGAGATGTCTGAAAAGGTGACTTCTAAACCAAAGAAAGCACTCTTCAGTGCAATGCAAGTATTTTAACATCTTTACTCAGTTGTGAAGCAAAACAAGACTAAGAATTGGAGATTCACTATTAGAGCCCGATATCAAGGTAGTGTATGCCCTTGAAAGACCTATCAGCTTAAAACGTAATTTGTCTTAGCCTTCTTATATATTTCTGCTGAAGATTCAAACTATGATTACATAGGCTGTACTCCAGAAATAAAGGGTGCAAGAACAAAAGCTCAGCAATGCACATTAGCAAAGTAGATGATAATGTAAGGCCATCAGTCTAGAGCCTTCCAGGTTAAGAATTAGAAGTGTAGATGTAGTAATAACAAACTCAAATTTGTTGAAATCCCCCAGTTGACAAAGTGTATTCATCTGCACTTTCATACTTTATCTCCACCAATAGTTCCAAGACTCAGTGTTTGAGGGGGGTCTCATACATGTGGTGTGTGCATGCATATTCAGATACAAGAAGATATTTATGTTATACAGAGATATGTTGTATTGTAAGAACAGAAAATTATATGGAATAGAAAATTATATACGTATTGGTAAGTTGTCTTCTGTCTAGAAATTAAAGAATAGAGCATTAAATATTTTACCTATTCAGAATTACACAGCCACTCTCAGAGAACCATGACTGTAAGCCCATAAAAGCATTCTTGTTCATCATTTCAACCTAGTTACAAATAACACAAAGAACTACTTTATTTGTGTCATGTTTGGTAATAAAAATGAGGCCAACAGAGGCCCTGGAGGGTAGTAGGATGATTAGGTACACCTGGGTGCCTTGTAAATAATGCAGTTTTATGGAAATACTGCAACTAAGCTTTGGCCTTGGTTTTTAGATGCTGCAGTAGCTTTCTTCAAGGGCAGCATGCTGAGTTCATTTTCAGCCAATGCAATTTTTTCTTTAAGAGATTCTGGGACATAGATGCCTGACTTATTCTTTCCAGAGACACTTATTTCCTCCAGGTAAAGGTGTGTACTGACCAAGGCTGAAGGCTCAAAGTTTGACAACCTTTGGGATTCCAACTAAGTAGCAAGGCCATAACTAATCCCTCTTGCCTGATGTATTCACATCCCTAGAACTTTCAGAGCTCATAGTCCTCATAAAATAAAATTTAAAAACCCCACAAAGTCCCAATGACTGACTGATTTATTTATGTATGTATGGGTTATGTATGTATGTTTCTCACCTTTTCTCTGCTTCCCTTCTCTTAGCTCTTCTTGATAAAGCTCATAGCAGTGTTTCCAGTGTTAATTGCCCTCATTGGATCCCTGGGAGACAGATTTAGACGTGTTACTATTACTTTGATTTTCTTTTTAGCTCCTGTCCAGCTCAAAGCCCCAATGTTTGGTGATACCATTGAACCATTTTTTTCTGTTTCCAGATCAAATTAAAGCAAGCCACATTGGTTGTGTTTTTGAAGCAATGTGAGGGGGACATTTTCTATGAGGTGATTCTCTGGCTGCCAGCCAGGATGTGAAAATCTCTAGTGTCCATGCTATTTCCTAAGGAAAGCACTCACAGGAAGTAGAATTTATTACGACTTGCTGTTTGTACTCATACAAAGTATAACCATCTGAAACTCTGGGGCAATGAACAGCTTACGAGGATTCCTTCTAGAACTAGATGCTAATGCATTCATGGTTTAGCCAGTTTTTAAAGACTGTTTCTTGATTATGATCTGCTTTTCACTGCTTGGCTTCATCTTACTCTTTTTGTAATTGCAGGTCCCACAGCTATGGATCTTTGGCAGCTGCTGTTGATCTTGGCACTGGCAGGCTCAAGCAATGCTTTTGTTGGGCTAGAGGGTGAGTTCTGCTTTTCTATTCCCACCCTAGTGTTATGAAAAAACACTGAACTTGGTTAAAGCAAATTCTTGCATTATTTAATTAAACAATGAAAGTTTTAGGTAGCAGCAAATGGGAAACATCTCAACTATAAACTCATAAACTAACAAGACTTTTTGTGAATGTTTTAGGGAGAATACAGTAGCCAGATTTAACATCCAGTGTTTTCACATCAAAAATAAATGCTGTGTGGCATGCTGAGGGCATTTTTGTTGAAAGCAAACCAGATCCTTGGTCTCGGCTCTGGGAAAGCTTTTGAAATTACACTGACGTGTTATTAACCTACTGATCATTCAGTTCATCTGTGACTAAGGATATCATGGTCTTTTTCCAGAGCTTAGAATTCACTCTATTTAATCATATTCTCTGAGAGAGAAAATTGCAGGTTTCAAATGAATTTCACCTCTCACTCTAAGTGATTGCCATTTGGCTGAGTCTGAGGGAAGAGACACCTGAAATAGTTGAATGATGTACCCAGAAGCCATGAGATTCTTTAGCCTACTCTATAATTTTCCTTTCTTCTTTATACTCTTCTTCTGGTAGAGAAGTCTCAATATTTTCAAACTTAAATAGCAAAAACAACAAAGTCAAGGAAGAATAATGAAAGGGACACATTTTTATATCCAGAAAGAAATTTTTGCTTTTTCTACATGCTGGAGCTTCAGTTGAGAACAGCACCATGCTAGGACATAGAACTCCGTTGTTGCTTCCAAAGTAGTGACTCCTTTATTCACCACCCAACAGATACTGGACAACACATTCTATCCGCAGACTTAGTGCATTAGTATGTCCTCCCTGACCTCAAGCCAAAAGTAAGCTACTGAGGAGCTGCAGAATAATTTGGAAAACAAAAGGGATAAAAGATGTTATTTTATCTTTTAAAGCAATTCAGCAATATTTATAGAAAAGAAGTCAGAATTGTTTGAAATGCTTTTGGGCCTCTCTGGTGTGTAATGTTAACATTATGCAAGTCAAATATGAACAGAATTACAGACTCCATTTCAGCAGCTTTTCCCATGGCTGTTTTAGACCTTGGTTCTGAGCCAAGGAATTACAGCTGAGATTTTCTGCTGTTCCAAAGTCATGGGGGCTTAATCTCTCCTATCTTCACTAAGGTGACTTTCATTCCACAGGGAAAGGCTTGAAGAATTTCAAAGATATGTGAAATGGCACGTAAGAATTTTTAAGGAAATTTTAAAATGTGTCCTGAGATTAAAGCTAAAATTAGATTTTAGGCCCAGAGAATCTGCAGAGAGTATGTGTTTTAATTACTTCAACATTTTAGCAGAAGTTTGACGTCATAAGAAGAGTGCAAAAAACATATATCATTAGCTGTTTTTCTAAAAAATTAATTCTGTTACATATATTTAAGATACACACACATGCTATAAGATACATGTGAGTAGTAAAGTGGTTATATATTATGATGGAGTAAATTAACGTATTCATTATCTCAAATAGCTATACCATCCCTAATCAAGAGCAACTCTAATCTACTCATTAATGAAAATCTTAAATATGATAAACTACTATAAACTATAGTCCCAGTGCTATACTTAGCTCACTGGACTTGTTCATCCTACATATTTGCTACTTCGTATCCTTCGACCTAAATTTCCCTCCGGTCTTCCCCTATCCCACTGCCAGTAACCCCTGTTATTTCTCTCTGTATTTAACTTTGCTTTTAGATTCCACATACAAATAAGTAATATTTTTTTCTGTGTAGTTTATTTCACATTCCCTCACTAGTTCTAGGCCCATCCATGTTGTGACAAATGGCAGGATCTCCTCTTCAGGGTGAATAATAGTTCATCCATGTAGTCTCCTTTCAACTCATCTATCGATGGATACGTAGTTTTTTATCCACTTAGCCATTGGTAGACACCTAATTATTTCATATCTTAGCTACTGTGAGTAATGCTGCAATAAATGTGGAAATACAGATATCTTCATAAGGAGGTGATTTTATTTCTTTCATTAAATGGTTTTAAGATTTGCTTTTTGTTTTGCTTCTTAGTAGTTTTTGCTTGCTTTTTTTGTTTGTTGGGGAAAAGCAGAATATCAGAAAATGGTTTATAATAAACACAAATCACATATCTTACCAGTACTTACACATAGAAAGTAATTCAACAAACACATAAAAACAAATTTTCCTCCTTTTTTCCCCCTTGTTGGGCTAATCAGAATTTTATTGGAATATGTGGGTGCTCAAGAATAGTTCCTTAAAATGACCAGAGATTAAGGATGGGGCATAGTATTTGCATAAGAAGGTGTAAGTGAGCATGTTCAAGCATGTGCATGCATACTGGCATGTGTGTGTGTTTATTTGCCAGTTCTGGCCACTTAAATAGTAGTTCAGCCAAAGTTAGCACATGATATGACATAAATCATGATCTCAGATGACATTCATGGGCCATGTGTTTCTTTTTCTGCCAAGTCTGGATCAAAACATTTTATTTTTATTTTCACTATTGTTTCATAAACCATTAACTTGAATTCAGCTTGCTCACTGAAAGATATAGCACTATTAAGTGATCATGAAGGCCTGTCTTGGAGAACAGTCACTGAAGAGTTACAGAAGATGACAGATCTGTATGCCTGGGAATGACTGGCCCTTGAGCCCTTGTGCAGAGTTTTTCTTGCATGGGCAGATGAGCAGTTAGAATTATAGTAGGCCTACGAGGATGTTTTTCATTTAGTGTAATTGCCCTATAAGAAATTTAATGAGAATTAAAAATTGAACAGTGCCATTATTGTATTAGCTGAAGTATTGCAATAAATATTTTCTGTTTGTCACTTATCCTTAATATGAGGCTCTATAAAGTAGGTTACATAGTCATGGAAAACTTTTTATTCCAAAATCAAGAAAGGTCAAAAATGCTACATACATTTTCAAGGGAATGTAGAGAGGTTTACCAGGTTAACCTTTACCAGGTTAATTTATTAACTGGTTGAATCAGAATTGTTGCTCCTAGAATACTGCTAGTGAGAAATGTGCATAAAGATTTGATGGATATAAATATTGTTCCAATGAGTGCCTGTTATAAATTAGGCTTACATCTTTACTACATCAGTCTGTCCAATACTGAGTCCTGCTTTGAGCCCCAACAATCTAAGAGAGAAGTAGACAGACCCTTGTTCTGAAGAATTTCAGTTTAGCTGGGACAGTAGGAACTTCTAGAAATTAATTAAAGACTATACAGTTTTGAGGTCTAGATTGTGTGATGAAGATACATGGTCAAGATGCTCTAAACGAAATCAAAGTAGAATGGAATAGTCAGTTTAACAAGTTCAGTGCAGGTCTTTTAAAGCTTTCTACTTTCAAAGCTTCAATTTAGGGCCATGATTCTTCTCTCAAGAGCTGTATCATAAGTTAAAAAATCAAGTATATAAACCAAGAATTATATCAGGCAGTGTATATAGAATGGCCTGAACTTTATAGGAGTAGCAAAAAAAGGAGATCACTTTGTAGTGAATTAGAGAACTTCATGAAGGAGGTTCATTTCATTGGGGACTGGAATGCTTAGTTAAGATTTTTAAAACTAGAACAGCAGGAATAGCTGCTGTGTTGAAGGGACAGCATACACAGCCATATGCAAGTGAAGACATGAGGGGAACATGGCGAACAGTGCATTAATTTTCTGAATTTATACCATGTTCGGGGCACCATGCTAGATAATGAGCAATTCTCATTTGTGCATTTAACATTCAGTGAATATTTATTGGGCACTTAGATTGTGGATGGCAGAGAATCAATTTGGCCAGGGCACATGGCACGTGGCCTCTATGTTTATAATAATTCTCCTTGGAAGTAAATTTAAGTCTATAGGTCTGAGTCAAATGATCCCTAGAAATGGCCCAATCTGAATAGAAATAGAAACACTTGCTGGACCCTAAAGATTGAATAGTATTTGGAAAGAAAAAGAAGAAAGAGGAAACACATGCTATATCCAAAGAATAACAGTCCTTCTCAAAGTTATAGGTAGCCCAGGCAGAAGTCCTAAGCATACGATGGAACATTATTTGTGTGTTTGTAATATCATGTATAGTGTTTATGTATAGCATTTATGTATGATATATGTAGATGTGTATGTATATGTACTTATACAATATTATATGTATATGCATATTTATATATACATGCATAGTAGGCATGGCCTGCAGGCAAAACTCCTAACTAGCGTTTTGCCATTCCACAGATTAATTCTGTAAAAGATGTTGTATCTATATTGGTCATGAGAAGAAACTTATATCAAGAATGAGTTGCCATATTTTAAAGGAAGCAAGATTCCCAAAATAATGTTCTCTGTATATATTGGAACATTCTTTGTAGTCATATGCAAACTAAACAATACTTATTTTTTAAAAAATTCTACTGTTCTTATTGCTGACAGATAAGAAATAACAGCATGGAAGGACAACTTAATTTTTTAAAAAATCCTACTATATCAAGATTCACTAGAGGTACAGATTTAAACATATATATCTGAATGATTCACCAAGTAGTCTTACAGTGGCCCCCTGGAAAATCAGGGTGCAGTAATGCAAAATGGCCTTCTGTGTCAGGGATAGTCCAAGGACCCACTGGGAAGTCGGAGCTGGCACTCGATGCAGACTATGGTGCAAACCTGTTGAAAGCCAAAGGGTCTGCACTGGAAAGCTGAAATGTTCATGCTAGAAGCCTGAGGGAACTACAGACAAACATTCAAATGGGATGGTGAAGCCTGGAGCTCCTCGAAGGAAACAAAAGGGAAGACTTTCTCCTTTACCCTTCTCTTTCATCCAGGCTACAAGTCTCTTGGTTGGTGCCACCAAATTCCAGGTTGGGTCTTCCCTCCTCAGTGGTTTACATGTCAGTCATCCATTAGCCACACATAAAACTGCACTCCACTAATCCTTGAGGAGTTTCTTAATCTCTTCAGATTGACATCATCATGAACTATTGCACCTACCTCATTATA